TGAACAGACCTTTCCAAAACTTCCTTTTCCAAGCACTTTGCAAATATTAAAATGATGTAGCCCATATTTTTTAATGCCATCTGCTCCACTCCATGGTGCATTGATAAATCTATAAAATATATTGATTGATTGATTTTTTTTTTTGCTGTATTTTTATTTCGATTAATTTTTAATTAATGAAAAAAATTTTAAACTTAAAAATGAAACAGATAGCATTTTAATTTATTGATAAAATTGATATCTTCAATTCAATACTTACTCTTCATTATCACTATGATTATCTAAATTGTAATTGTGATAACGGAAAAAAGCTTTGAAACGATCCGGAAATTTATAACCACTGCATGCTGAACCATTTGATGATGATGATGAAATGCTACGCGGTTCTACCGGTACATTGGGTCCTACTGGCAACGTCATTGCACCAAAACCAGCTGGCGCACTATAAATAAAAACTTCACTAATTCATTTACCAAAAAAAAAAAAAAGAAAACGTAATCATTAGGATATCATATTACCAGAATTATCTCAATTACTGAAATAAGCAATTCTTGAAGCAAAATTTAAAATATCAAATGATAAGATAACAAATCAGTCCATCCATTTATTAAAGTTAACATCTTTTCATTTTATTCAAAATTTTCAGAATTATATTCTTCCATTCCTTTATTAGATTATTGTTAGTGTTACAATATGACAAGATTGATATAAATTACAAATTTCTTTTCCTATTTCAGATAAAATAGATTAATTTAAAAAATTCTCAAAACTTTGATAAATTTAAAAATTTTCAAAATTTTAGATTAGTAAAAAGAAAAGGAAGAAGAAGAAGAAAAGACATGTAATTTACCTTGTTTGACCGTGTGCTCCACGTTTAATTTCAAATAATGCTTGAGAAAGTTGTTTTTGATTAACACCGCACAAATTAGGCATATATCGTTTACATTTGTGATGGCATACAACACCACACACTAAACTTTGTTTTATAAGGTCATATTGTGAAATGTAATTATAGATAAATTATAAATGGTTTGGAAAATTTTAAGTATTGCGAAAGTAAATTTAATATTTTCAATTTATTGATTATAATTTTACATTATTGTTTTATTGATTAGGTAATGTCATTTATTTTGATAACATTTCGATGATGCCTAGAAAGTTTAATTTCTTTTGAATTATCAACAATTAATTAGGCATGCAAAACGATTAGTATCCTTAACAACTGGATAAGGCATTCAAACTAATTTTTCATTTAAATTCATGACAAAATGCATGAACATTAGAATTAAAATAAAAAGTGAGAATTAAAATAGTTAAAAGTCTTCAAATAATTTTTTTTTTTTTAAAATGTAAACAATAAACTAGCAGCACAAACAAACCTTCACATTTTAATCCTTGTTTAAAAAGACCATACAGTAATGAGCCACAATGATCACAAAATGTTGGACTTTTAAAATTGTACGATTTAAAACGATGTGGAATATCGATTTTGAAACGTTCCTTCAAGTACTGAAATGCACGTTTTTAAAAATTAGAAAATAACAATACGAATAATTCTACAACCTAAATGAATATAAGTGAAAAAACAAACGAAACAACAACTTATTGTTACACCAATTTTTTTTAAAAAAAAATTCATAATTTGAAAAAATTTAAATTTGTATTTAATAAACTTTTTTTTTGAGAAATAAAAAAAGTAAATGAAATGAATGAAAAAAACGAAAACATACAATTGTATCTTTGGTCTTTTCAGCTGAACCAGGACATTGGCTAATTATTTTTTCATGGCATTTCTTATGAACTGCTGTACTACACAACTGACATTGATATCCTTGTTTGTTAAGGCCCCTACAAGTTGGTACCTAAATGAGATTTAATAG